CAACAATTTACTTTTTACTTACCACAATGATTAGTTTAGGATCAAAAAAACGAATGAATTCATTTTGACAACTTGTATATATGCTAAGCTTAATCACTTTTTCAACTACAAGAAAACTATTATGTAACATTCATACCCTATAAATTCAAATGTATAATTAAATAAAAAATATGAAATCATTAGATTATAATTAATTCCTAAGATTTTATCGTTTCGAATTTTACGTGAATCCTTATCAATTGAATTTTGATGTTGCGGGCGATAAGATAACGTGGGCAAGTTATATAGTTTAGTTTTACAAAATAATTTATTTGTGAAGTAATATTTATTTCTTTATATTTTAAGCATAAGAAAAGGTTGTCCTTTGAGGCTGATTCAAATTTTTTTTTTTTTTAGAATTTAAATATTTATTTAACTTGCAAAATTTAACAAAAAGAAGGTCACGAAATGACGAGACTAAAAAAAAAAAGGTAAATCTATTCAAAATCCAAAATATAAAAATCATATTTCGCATTTTTATTGTTATTGTTTATAATTTATATAACGGTAAAATTTATAAAAAAAGCCTTACTTATTTGGATTAATTCCAGGGTTTTGGCTAATGTTACGATTAGATGAATTAATTAATTTAATCCTTTTGAGGCAAATCATAGTTATCTAATGTATTACAACACTTAATCTATAAAATCAGACTTCAAGAATGGTCATTTCTAAACTCCACCATTTTTTTTTTTTTTTAAAAAAATAAAAATTTGGAATGGATGAAAATGAAATCAATTTAGATGATTTAGACATTTCGGATAAGGAAGAATTTCTCGAATTGTTGAATGATCCTCAGAAATTTGCATTAGAAATATGTCCAGTTGAAATTTGGAAACAAATAATTTCAAATGTTGAAGACGTTCCAACATTAACTTCTTTATATTTAACATGTTCAACGTTAAGAGAAATAACAAAAGATCCATTATTAACTCAAATGGCGACCAATCCCCCGTTGGACAAATTAAATAATTATACCAAAACAAATCATCCCGAGTTCACCAATCAAAAGGATATTATTTTGAAAATGCATAAATTTATTGATATAGTCGTAATTGAAGGAAAAGTTGAGCCATCGAAATGGACAGATAATATGCAAGAATGGGATGGTTATGATGAATCATTGGATATTTGGACAAATCAAGATGGTTTTAGAAGAGAAGTTGGCAGAAAAGGTAAAGCCAAATCTAGATCCCACATTGAATGGGAGAAGGACGTCGAAAATGAGAAAAAATTATTGAAAAGAGAATTGGCGAAATGTTGGGCTATTGCTGGAAAGCTATTTCCATTTAGGTAAGCTAATCAATGTAACTTCAAATGGTTCATTTCTTTCATGATGACTAGTCAGAGGTTAATTTAAATTTAGTCATACAGAAAACAGAGAATGGAAAAAGAAGCGTCAAGAAAAATTGGCGGTCAAAGATAATAATGAATCGTCTCCTAAAGAAAAAGAAAAAGAAAAAGAAAAGGATAACAAGACAGATTTTTCACAACAGGAGCATTCAATGCGACGACAACGTCATAAAATGAAATCTGCTTTGGTACCTCAAAAGCTGCCAAAGGCCCCAAGACGTAAGGTTTCAGGAAATAAAGCATCACATTCCTTAAATTCGGATGTCACGTGGAAATATACACATGAAATTCGTAATCAACATAAACCTTCAAGACCAAATATAGGCAAAGGTGAAGAAGAATTTAATCGGAAAATCTTGACAAATTATGTCACACCGAGACATTTTAACTCCGGTGAAGGATTTGAAGGGTTATCACATGATGTTTTAACCATCGTGATGGTTAAGATGTTGAAGTTATTTGATGATAGCGATGAGAGAGTTTTAAAATTTCCAAAAGAATTAAACGGCTATCAACGGAAACAACTACATCATCAAGCTGAAATTCGTGGATTGAGAAGTATTAGTTTCGGTGAAGGAGAAGGCAGATTTTTGGTCGTTATGAGAAAAGATGTTGAAATCTTTCGTTAACAATTATAATTTATAATATTTAACTTATTTATTTGGTTTACCATGTATTTAAATAAAAAAAATTTTACTTTTATGGGTGATCATTCATGCACTTTTTTTTTTTTTCTTTCAAACATGTGAACGAACAAAGTCATTTTATAAATACTGCGTTTCGTACAACTTCTGGAAAAAATAAAAAGGTTATACGAAATGCGTGGAACAATTGGAGTGGCTGAAAAAAAAAATTTTTTTTTTTTTTTTTTTTTTTTTTTTTTTTAATTCAACAAAAGTAATAGTAATAGCTATATAGGAAAGATGATATCATAAAAGCTTTGTTTTCTTTTTTTTTTTTTTTTTTTTTTTTTTTTTTTGTTTAGTTTTTTTTATTGTTATCGATATTATTGTCATCATCATTTTATTATTATTATTACTTTTTTTGTTGATATTTCATTGAATGCCGTAAAACTTTGTTTATGATCTGTTTTCGGTTTTTTTTCTCTCTATTGATTCACAAAATTATATCAAGTATAAAAAGACTATCACCATCATTGAATTTGCGAGAACACTTTGAGCAACCATGACAGATTGTAATGAACGCATTATATTAAATGTTGGTGGAATCAAGGTAAATCAGACACATTCTTTTACGATTTTATAATTGATCTCTTCTCTCTTAAATTCAACTGGTTTGCTTTTTACAGTATGAAACGTATCGATCAACCTTGACGGCGTATCCAGATACGTTACTTGGAACGATGTTTCAACAACGTAATCACGCACTATTACACCCAATGAATGACAATGAATATTTCATTGATCGTAACGGACGAGCATTTCATTATATACTAGAATTTTATCGCACAGGAGAGATCCTTTGGCCAAATTGTGGAGATGATGATGGTGAATCGTTATCTACAGCAAAGATTTGTTGTGCGCTCGTGACCAGAAAAGAACTTTCGAAGGAATTAGATTATTTTCAAATTCCAATACCAAAAGAGAAATCAATTTCTCCTGATAACTTCAATATAAACGTTGAAGATGAATATAAAATATTAGCAATAAAATTAGATGGGTTTGTAAAATCGTTATTGGAATCTATATGTTTAGCAAGGCAAGATTATCAAAATGTTTTAAACGTAAAATTCTATGATCGCCTACCGACCAAAGATGCACCAAAATCCATTCATTTTCAGCCAAACATTGATAAATTATTAAGACCTTATGTTGGAAGTGGTTATTTCATGCTCGAAATGTTTTCCAAACCTATCGAAACTCATATTAAAAGTTGTTTACCTGGAATAAGGTGGAGCCTAGATAAGAGGTTTAAATATGAACCAGAACCAAATTATTATGATTTAAAAATCATTGGAAATGATTTTTTTGATAAAAATATAATTCTTAAATATTCTTGTCTTGATACAAGATGAGAACTTTTGTTTATTATTATATTATTATTATTATTATTATTTTATTTTTTATTATAGCTTATAGAATAGATAATGGTTTTTCAAAAGATTTCTTATTTACCGTATATCTTTTAATTTCATTAATTACTACTTATTTTATAATTTAGAGTAAACCTAGAATTCATAATATTTAATAAAACTTACATGAATTTAAATATGTCTTATAATTTTTTTTTTTAAAAAAAAAACCAAGAGAACCCGTAATTTAGCTATAAAAAAATTCGGAATTGACTTATTTGGCGCAGCATTAAATTAACTTTAATTCATGTATAACAATGCAAATCATAATTTTTTTTTTTTTTGAATTTGTTTTACTTCTGTAACTTTATATGAAAAATTCACGAAAGCGTTTTTTATTTATTATCATTATTAAAAGCACACTAGCTTGCATTGCATTCAAAAGTTCGCGTCAAATTGTTCGAAGCAATGGTACTTATGTAATTTAGCAATTTTTTTTATTGTTAAAGGTACATTTTTTTTAGAATAATAGATGATGGCGGCCAATTATCCTGTCTTTACTGTGCCACATTTGTTTATCTATCGTTAAAATAACCCTCCAGATTAGGAGTAACGAATAATCTTGGTGTAAGAAGAAAAGGTGTACACCGACCGATTTAGTAACATTCAGTTTTCCAACCAAGAAGGAAGGATTGTAGAGAATGGAATGTCGAAGAAGAATTTCATGTATAACTCATTCGTAACTTTAGCTATTTACATAAAAGAGATTGAAGAGGGTTAAAAACGTTATTATTAACAGTAATTGCGAAAACTATTAATTTACATTTTTAACTTTTTCAAATTCGTTCACTTCTTTATCTAGCTAAAACATTATTATTAAAAATAATGAGTTAAATTAATTTCTCCGATTTGGAGTACAAGAAATGGTGTGGACATAGACATTTTAAGTGGTGCATATTTAGATATTTTTTTTTTTAACCTTTGCATTGCATTAGATTTAAGCGTTTTTTTTCTACGAATTTGTCTTTCTCTTTTATTTCTGTATGTTTAGGTTGGAAGTTCCTTTTACCGCTTCACGTAATGATAATCTTTCTACTAAATGACATCCATCAATCATGAAGATTTGAGCAGATAAATTAAACCGCGAAGCTTTTGTCAAACATTTTTTTATAGTGGAGCATGTTCAAACCTATTTTCTTTTCCAAATCATGAACGGAGTGCTAGCGAAAAAGATAATGGTTCTCATATGACTATCGTCAACGGAAAAATACTTCTCTTTGAGACCTGTGAACCTTAATCAACACGAGTTATTTATTGCTAGGAGGAATCAGCTTTACGCTGGTCCTCTGAATTTGGATGCATGGCTTATCACAGCGCTTATCCGCTCTTCTTTTCTTATATAGGGAAAAAAGCATTCAGAGAAGATACAGTATCTGGGAAATCGAACGGTATGAGAATCGTCAGAAATTGGCGCTTACGAAAATTAATGATCATTTTGAATTGTCCTCATCAAAGATTGATATGTCGCAGAGTCGACATCAGTGTTATCGACCGAGTATAAACGACCTTTTGAACGTTCTCATATCAACAGGACAAGATCCACACGAAGGAGTAAATAAAAAGCATTTAAGGTTTAAGGTTTAGAAACAGCTAATTGTGAAATTTTTTATTCATTTATTTATTACATATATTATTATTCGAAAAATAATACTGTACATCCGTAATATACATAACTATCAATCTTCGTAATTTAAAATTATTTACCCACCCAATTTTTAATCCATTCTTTAGCTTTATCAATAACAATTTTTTCTTTCTTTTCTTCAACAATTTTCTTTAAAGCATCTTCAGCTTTTTCATGACACATTTCACTTTCATCCTTAAATTTTTCAAACAAGACAACTTCCAGATAAGCTATAGCAATACAAGTACTTAATATTCCTTCAATTTCTTCAATATCGCCTAATTCTTTTTTAATCTCTCCGATTAAATCATTGAAATCATTTACATCTTTTTGATAAAAAAACTTATAAAATGACTCATTTGGCAAGAATTTACCATCAAATGATTGTAGACTTAAAAATTCATATAAATTTTCAATTTTTGGTTCTCGATGTTCGACTATAACACTTCGTTTACTAATTGGAAAATCACGTTAATGATGGAAAAAAAAAAATTTTTTTTCAGTTGTATATACAACACGCGATAAACTTATTCCTGACCTTTTCATTTCCATACTTGATGTCTGTATACTACCAATTCTACTACCAAATGACGCGCTAGCTGGTGCTTGTGAAAACATTAAACGACTTGGACTCGCTGAAGAAAATGATTTTGCAAATGCACTCGCACCCCTTATCATATATTGCTGAGGAACTTGTCTTTTCGGGATTGTCTGAGCTTCGGATACAGTTTCATTATTTCTTTCATCAATTGCAATAAAACTACAAAATAAAGTCATAATAATATTTCATAAGAAAGAAATGTAGATACATATAACCAAAATATATTATAAATACCTTGTATGTTTTGAAACTAGATTAAAAGTTTTACCAAGGTCAACAATATGATCTTTAACCAATGAAGCTGGAATATGTTTACCAGAATTTTTAGGATGTTTATGAAGAAATGATTTTCCATCATCAAGATCTTGAATAAGTTTTCTCGCCGCTAATCTATGAATCTTTAAACCTTGCAAAGTAACGGGATCCAAGGAAATATCAAGCTTTACGGGACCATCTTGAGAAGTGGCATTTATAGTGATAACTCGACGCGGTTCAATATCTTTCTCCAAAATGCAATATACAACGAACCGAACACCAGGATAAATAGGCGGAATTAAATACGGAGCTTGTCGAACCTTTATATCAGTAAAGATATTACTTGGAGGTGATGGCGGAGGTTCCGACTTGTCGCTATATAAACTAATAACAGGTTTATCTTCCTCCATCGGAATTACTTCCTTTTCGGTTGACTCCGAGAAATCAACATCAGTCCAAGTAATTTTATAATCTTTGATCGGTGGTTTTAATGAATTCTTCAACATTCCAATAACTTTATTATCCATCCTTTCATTAGTTGTTACAAATTGGGAATATCCTCTACCGACACGAGCAACAGATTCGACCAAATCATGAGAAACAGAATCACCAATTCCTAACGAAAAAATACGTAAATCATCCTTCTTCTTTTCTTCCTTTTCACGTACAAGTTCTACAACTTCATCAACATTATAAACTTCACCGTCTGTAATTAGAAATACAGATGTTGGCATATCATCCCTTGAATTTTCAAATACCCATTTTAATGCTTGAAAAATTTCCGTTCCACCATAATTTGAGGTCATTGTTTGAGCAAGTTCTATAGCTTTAGATAAAGATGTTTCGGAATAAAGTTGACTTTTTGGAAAAAGAGAATCGTGATGAGATCCAAAAGATACTACATTAAAGTAACAATCTCCTGGGAGCGAACGTAAAATTAACTCAAGTGCCTGCGCAGCTTTTTTCATAGGTTCGACGCTCATTGATCCCGACCTTTATTCAAAAAAAAAAAAAAAAAATGTTTAGAAAACATTATCTTTTTTTTTTTTAAAAAAAAAAAAATTGACAGTTATGTTACTTACCTATCAACAACAAAAATTAATTCGGTCATGGTTGAATTTAACGCGAATTTTGGAACCAAAGTTAACATAACACAATTGGTTTGAGTTTCAGGATTGTATTCAACGAAAGCCCTGAAAGAATTTTTTTTTTTGTTTTAAAATAAATTTCAAGAATACAATTTTATCGGCATAAAAAATATTTACCGTGGTTGATCAAGATTTTTACTCTTAACCACAAGAATGAAATCCTTTTCCAGATAAGTAATCTGTTCTGCCAAAGTGATTTTAGAGATTTTAGGATTTTCATCGATATTCATTTCGGTAGAAATATTATGTGAAGGTGATTCAATATTTTGAATAATCGAAGTCATCCTACAAGTAACTGTAAGATCTAAATAATAATCAGCTTTATTAGAATAAGAGACAACATCGGCCTGAAGTATTTTCCCATCATGTGATGATGATGATGAAGAACCATATCTTGGCGCGATAAAAGTTGGAAGAACAAAACGAATCTTTTCTGTTTCAGAATCATGTTTAAGTTCGGTAACGTATGTAATCTTTATGACTACAATTTGCCCGGATGTAATATTCCCAACAGAACATTGAAATACGTCTGATGACTCTGATTCTAACAAATAAGCACCATGTCCTTGCTAATCAATTATAGAATATTATATGGTAAATTTTCATTTCATCTTTTTACATGCAAGAATATCATTGAGAAATGTGTTTTTCTACCTGAATTGATTCAGAGTATTCTTTAGCAGCCTCTTTTGCTTCTTTAACGACACCCTTTACTTTTCTTTGTCCATCAATTTCCGCTTCAAATCCGCAGACAGCCGCGGCTTCGTAAATAGGAAACTTATAAAGAGCTTCAATGGTATCCTTTTCGACATTTTTATAAGTCTGGCTGATAGTAACTATACAAGAAGGACTTAACATTATAGGATTTACATCATAATATCATTAAAGTTTACAACGTACCTTCACTGATCATATCAACGACTGAAAAAGGAGTTATGTTATTGATTGTTCGGAACAGTATACAGAGTAGTGTATCAATGAGAACTTACTATCAGCTTTAACCACAACATTTTGTAAAGGAATTGGCTTCACTTCTTTTTCAATTATAAAACAAAGACCGAAAATTTGCATATTGGGAAAAAATTATATTCGAGTTGGATCAAAATCCAAACACCTTTTATATCAACAAATCATGTGCTTTTCATTAAGCCCTATTTGGTCGGGCGTACTCTCAAATTTCCCAAAGAAATTAAATTCAGATAGTGCAAAAAATGACTGATATTACTGGTTAGAACGTGTGAAAAAATCAGATTCTTACTACCCTAATTGATCGGCACTAAAATGGACGTGCCAGATCTAAAAAAAAATTGACATCATTTGCAGGATAACGCACCTTTCCAATTTGTCATTAAATAGCAACAAACGTAGTCATTATCTCGTGTTGAATTAACATGTCACGTGTACTACGCGAACTTTAATGTATAAGGTAGAAATGATAACAATAATAAAATAAATTAGTTTTCCTCACGGACGTTTCTATCGACTCTAGTAAAACATGCACCTTATAATAAACTCTCGATTATTTTAATTATTCTATCTGCAAGACTGATGATTCACTTCGTGCGCGTTCTACGTAACGGATCACCAGATCTTTGATAAAAAAAAAAAGGTTCAAGAATAAGCCTTGTATTATAAATTGGGTTTTCCTGTTTAATTTGGATGTATTGGGTGGTTCTTCTTGGCAAGTTCCGGGCAGCATTTTTTTTTTTAAAAATTAAAAAAAAATAAATAAAAATGAAAGTTACCATAAAAATATAAATAAAAAAATTTATATTATAAATAATAAAAATGATAAAAAAAATAAAAGTTAACCATTCCGCACCTTAGAGTAAACTAATCGATCCAAGTATGCTATAGTGGTTTTGGCGGGATTTCGAATTTTTACTTTATCAACTTATTCGTCGTTCGAAGACAATCTGTAAGTTTCAAGAGGTTACAAATTCATCGGATAATTCATCGTTTGTTTAATACTTAAAAAAGATATGTTACATGAAATTATGCAATTGATTTTTAAAATTTAGATTATTTATTAGCATAACTTTAATATTATATAAACGATAAAAAAAAAACTCGAAATAAAATAAAAAAAATTATTGATAGTAATAAAAGATATTGATAATTATTATCCTTAACTAGACATTTAAAAGATAGGAAATAAAATTATAAATATTAAATATAAACTAGTGACAAAAACGATATTTATCATTCACTTAAGGTATATGTTAAGTCCCAAGTTGCTATACCTGAATAGGTACCAAAGGTAACTACTTTAATTCCTGTTCTTTTAGATTGAAGATGCATAATAAAAGGTACACTTATCATTGCCTTCTTAATAGTTGCTGTAGCAATTATTTTTGCTTTTAAAGGAACTTTGATAGGAAAGTCTGCTACATATGTCTTTTTTGATTCTGTAGATTTACCAAAAATCCAAATCTGATCATTTTTAGCTTCAATATTAATTCCATTCTCTCCTACACTTGGAATTTCAGCTTTAAATTCCATTCCTACTTTTACAGTAAATCCATATAAATGTTCAAAAATTGACATATGAATTTCACTCTTATTCATTTTAAAATTAAATGTTTGTTTTAAATAAGTATCATTTGAAAAAATTTGTTTCATAAGTACAACTGATGTTGTGTTTGTAATTTTTCCTTTATCAATGAGATAATCTATACTTTCAACAATCATATCTTCAAATATAAAAGTCTAGTATTATTCATCATCTTTATCATCGCTTGGTTTATGATAAAATTGTGGATTTTCAGAAAATCTAGAAAAAATGAACCATTTGGTAACATAATTCTAAATTCTAAAATAATCAAGATATTTTCCTGTTCCTGAAATTAAGATCCAAAACTGATCATCAAATTTATTATCGCTTGTATAATGAAAGAATTTTGGTTCAGCAGTGAAGCTAGAAAAGATAGACAATTTGAAATAATAATTCTCAATTCTAAAATATTCTAAATGTTTTTTTTCTGTTTCTGGAACCAATGTCCAATATTGATCCTCATATTCTGCATTATCTGAGTGATGATATAATTGAGATTCTGGAGAAAATCTAGAATACATGATCCAGTTAGTTTGATAATTTTGAAGTCTGAAAGTAAGTTCCTTTGGAAGTATATAAAGCTCCATGTTATCCCTATTATAAGCAAATTAATTATATTGTTATAATGTGTACATTATTATGAATAAAAGATTTGAAAATATGAAACTTTGAAGATTTACTGAGAAATTTCTAGAGATATTATCAAAAGATGTTATCTTCGAATAATACTAATTTTTCTTATTTAAAACTACAGTAAACAAAAAAAGTGGAGAGAGAATATTAAGTAATTGAAATTTTGATTTAATGATCATAATAATCATAATTAATTTTTATATAATCAATGACATAATATTTTAAGGATCGAAATCTTTTGTTTTTATGTATTTCGTAATTGAACTGCATGGAAAGATAGAATCCTTATTACAAAATTCTTTTAAAAACATCAATTTTCTACTTGATTTAGAATATAATAAAATGTAGAATACAAATGATTTGTTTAATTATACCTTTTTTTGAATAAATAAATTTTGATTTATTATATTTAATTTTATCGTAATACAATATTTTAGTAAATTTACGGTAACTTTAAATGAAACTTTAATAGAAGTGACTATCAAATATAATAATTACAAAGTTGATACATTTTAGTTAACGAAGCCCATATGATGGTAATTTATCTACAATTACAATCTTGTCTGTAAAATACAGTATATATATATTAATAATACAAATTATACAAATTATATACAGACAATCTAAGCATATAGATTCAAAGCTTTGCTTCTTTTTATAGATGAAGAAAAATGTATTGGTAGTAGTAATGGTAATGAAAAGTTTGTATTGATAAAGGAGAAAGTAGTAATAAAAGAAATGATAAATTTAATAGTGATTGTAAAGATAATAACATTGATAATATCGAAATATAATAATTTTACATGTCATCTGATCAGTTAGATTACATATATCTATGTGATAAAATTTTTATAAAATTTGTTTTACGTCGTCTTGCCCAATATTAAAATTTACACGTTCTTGGCTATAAAGATTAAAATCTCTTATTAATGATAGACTGTTCTTTTTCTTTTTCTAGGTGAATCACGATCATTGTAGTTCTATATCCTTATAAGTCTTTCTTTCTCTCAAAGCAGAATGCAAACGCAATTCAATATTACATTCTGAATAATCTTCCTTCATATGACACCATTTACTAAGTCAGTGATATTAACATTTTAGTTCATCGAGACCAAAAAAAATTTGATAATGATGCTTTTTTTGTAACTTGGTATACTGAAACTGAAACAATATATAGGTTGATTGCTAGGAAAATTAGGTTCTGGAAATTTTAACAAAATTAAGATTTTTATTGTATTTTAGTTTTTGATGTTATTAGATTAAAATATATTAAGTTCTTAATTTTAGTCAAAAATTTATCAGATTCTGAATTTTCTAGAAATCCTCCCATATGTTATTAATAATCGTATGAGCGAAATTTTATTAATTTACTTATTATTTCAATGATATTCTGATTGCAAAGTAAAAAAACTATGATAAGATTTTTTTTGACATTTTTATTGCCAGTAATTTTTATTAATTTAGCATTTTTAGGAGTAAAAGCAGTAAACATTATAAGAAAATTTAATGGAAAAATGATATGACACATTAACGCATATTTTGTTTGACGGGTTATACCAATCAATAAAAATGCCAATTAAACTCTCATTAATTAATATACTATGTCAAATTTTGTCAGTAATAATTTTTTATAATTCAAATATAAAAGGTATTATTATCAATAAATTTATAATAATAAAATATTAATTTAAGAACTTTTAGCTAATATTTGTAAATAAGTTACAATTTTAATTAAATAACAATTAACTTATTTTACTAAAATATTATACTTTGATATGAAATTGATATTTTTGAATTATAATAGATATAATATAATGATGTAATTTATTATATTTGATTTATTCATAATAATTAGCTAATTTATTTTTAGCATTGATTTTTTAGTTTTGTAAAGAAGTATGAAAAAATTTATACTTTACATATAAAAAAAAAATTTTTTTTTTTTGATAGTTTCTTCCTTTTTATTGTAAAGTATTTATATATAATAATATTATTTTAAATTTTTAATTTTTATTTATAGAATTACAATTATAAATAAATAATTTTATTTCATATTATTTATATATTAGTATTTTATTATTTATCTTTATAAACTTTTTTTAACAATATACTTATAAAATAATAATATTTGATAAATAGATAAAAATCTTTTTATACTACAAAAATTTATTATTAATAAATATATTAAATTAATAAAAAATATATTTTTTATATATTTTTATTAATATTCTTAATTTTATCTATATTATATTAAAAAAGAAAAATATATTAAAATTCTATATTTTTTTTTAATTTTAATTATATAATTTATAATAGTTTTAAAATTAATACAGTAATACTTAATTTTTTTTAACTTAAAAGTTTATAATTTATTAATTTAAATGCTAAAAATAAGATTTTAATTTTTTTTATTCTTAAAAAATGACTTATAATAAAAATTTAACATATAATTATATAAATTTATACTTTATGTTAAATTTTATTACTTAATAAAATTTAAGTATAAAACAATTTTTAAGTAGTTTAACTATCATAAAACTAATATTAGATTTTAATTTTTCTTTAATAATAAATTAAAATTATTTAAATTTGATTAATTTTTATTTTTTTAATATAAAAAAAATTATTTAAAAAAAAGTCTAATATATTATATATAATATATTACCATTAATCATAAAAAAAATAATTAAAAATAATATTACTAAGTAATAATTTTATTTAAAAAATAAATTTTACAGATTATTTAGTAACTAAGTTTAATTATAAAAGAACTTCTATTAATATTTATTTAAAAAATTAAAAAAAAAGGAAATATATCAATTATTAATTTTAAAAGTAAAATAGTATAATAAAAAAGATAAATATATATAAAGTAATAAATTAAAGTATTAATAATTTAAATCTATAAATTAAAATAAATAAATAATAGTTTATATTATAAATTAATATCTTTCAAAATCTTTATTATTTAGTATAAGTAACTAAGAATTGAGAACATCATCTTTTGAAATTTGATTTATAGCTTACAATTAAATATATTATATTTAAAAATAACAAAATTTCCTTTTTTTATATTTAAAGTATAAAAAAAAAAAATTTCAAAGCTTTTGAAAATAAATTTTGATATTCTATATTATAAAGAAATTTTGACATTAAAAATCTATAAATTTCATTGATAAATTAATTATTATCAAATAAAGATCTAATAATAGAATTATTTGAAATTTCTGATAGAATTTTTACTATATATAAATTTAAAAAAAAATAATTAACTAATGAATTTTTAAAGATAATAAATGATAAATTATTATTATAAAAAAAATTTTAAATTTTAAATTTATATATCTTATTATCTATCTATTAATTTTAAATATAAAAATACTATTATTTAATAGGTCTTAATGAAATAAATTTAATAAATTAAATTTATTTTTAAATAGTTATTTTTAAAAATTAAAAAATTAAAAAATTGATATTATTAATGTATAATCTTTTTAGGTTGCAACTGTTAGATATAATATTAAAGGGTTAATAAGATGATTCAGATTATTTATAAATAAAATTATTTGTCAATTAAAAAAATGATCTGAATGATAATTATATATTTACTGTATAGCACTTTATAAAGTACTCTGAATACTAATTGCCAAACTTGGGCTGACTGTAAATAATATCTTCAGGGGTATTGTGTATAATAAAGAGTATACTAAATAGTTAATATTGTGCTAGAGATATAATTTATCAAAAATTTAGATAATCAGGATGATTGATTGATCATTTTTTTTTATATATTGAATAAAGAGAAATTTCTGTGAATTTTACGGGTGTTCTAAATACTTTAAGAAATACAATGCAAAGAATGAACAAAATGCCAAGAAAATTATAGAATCTTCTTCAACTTTAACAAATCAACTATCTATACTTATACCTATACCTATACCTACAACTACAACTGTAAAAACACACTTCAGAAATCTTCAGCTTCATCAAACACTATTTTAGAACAAAGTTTTATTTCTGTTACTACTGAAACTTAATCAAACCAATGTATGTAAAATTAAATTAAAACTTTACTAGTGGAAATGAGGAAGCAGGAATAAGTAGAGGAGGAATACAGTACAAAATACCTTTCCCTTAAATTTAATTCCAAAATATTTGATATGATTTGAGTTAATATAAATAATCATGCAATATATCCTTTGAATGAATACTATTGAATTTCTAATATATTATAATAAGGTATGAAAGCAAATTTTGATCTAGAATGCTGCATATTAATTTTAAAATACTTTTAATTCAATTCATATCTATTTACCAGAATCACGGTCTACTAATAATGTAGGTATATTGAAAAAAATAAAATGGTCATATATGCTAAATATTTAAATTGTTAAATTTAATCAGAAAGATATAATAAAGATTGATAGATATACTAAAAGTAATTAACTTTTCTAAAATTAAGATTAAAATAATTTTTTATTTAACCTTTAGCTTTTTTTTTTAGATGTCAAATATCAAGTCAGAAATGATATATCAAATTATAATTATGCATGAAATGCTATATTATATGAAGGATATGAAATATTAATAATAAACAATTTAATAAAATTTTAATCCATTTTATTTTATGTATTCTTTTATATAAAAATAATATTTAATCATTAACTAACAAACCCTAAATTATCGATATTAACCAATAATTCATCTAAGAAATTTATGAAATTAAATCGCAATTTTTTAAAAATTATATGTTTTACAAAAAGATTTGAAAATATCAAAATATAAAATAATATAAAAAGGTTTGTTAATTTTATTATAACTGAATTGATAAATTATTTAAAATAACAAATTTTTTATATTATTAATTAGAATTTTTAGCTAATTCTCATAATAGAGTATTTAAATCTAAATAACTTAATTTTTAGTCATGTGTTAAACACAAGGGGTATTGTAATTTGCATTTTACAAGGAATTTTATAATTAATATAGGAATGTGATCTAAAGAAGATTAGCATATATCACATCTTATATAAAAAATGACCAAAATAAACACGTTAAAAATTTTAACTTTAAACATATCAAATAAAACCAACAAAAAAGACATATTACTATATCTATAGAAAAATTTAGATTATACTTAAATAGTTAAGAGAATATAATAAATGAAGAATTAATATAAATTGTATATAATATATCTTCACCTAATGCAAATAAATACCATTATCAAGCAACTATTATCTAAAAAAATAATGTTAATGGAATACGCAAGAAAAATTAGCTATTTTAGCATATCTTAAAAATTATTCACAAAATAGTATTTGAGCAACAGCTACTATATTTAATATTAAACTTGTTCAAGTTAGAAAATGGTGTAAACTTGAATAACAATTAAGCTTTACTTCATATTCGACGATTAAATAATATTTACACTTAAAATATTCAGAACTTAAAATATTTTTAAACCAGTAAATTAAGGGGTTATATTAAAATTTAAAAGTTGTAATCAGATTAATGATACAAATAAAGACTAAAGTTCTTGCATAAATAGACCAATTTAATACTATATATCCTGATATTAAAGAATACAAATTTAGTAGTAAATAGATTGATAGATTTATGGTACAACATAAATTTAGTCATCATCAACATATGATTGTAGTATAATGATTACCTAAAAATTTATTAGAAAAGCAATATGAATTTTTAGGATTTGTTCTTTATCAACGAATTCAATATAATTATCCATTAAACTTATTGGTAATATAGATAAAACACCTGTTTCATTTGATTTTCCTAGTCAAACAATGATAGAAAAAACTAGTTCAAAATCTGTTAGTATTCAGACTTGTGAATATGAAAAATCAAATTTTACTGTAATCTTAGCTTATATGATAGATGAAATAAAATTACCAGCAACAATTATTTTTAAATTAACAAAAGTTTTTCAACAAGATTTTCTTTTAGGTATTATTATTTAGGCTAATAAAGAAGGTTATTCTAATACAAAAAAAAATGTTATTTTGGATTGTAAATATTTGGAATCAACATGTATTGTTATCTAGTAATCCTCAATCCTTATTGGTACTTGATTCTTTTGCTAGTCATTTGATAAATTCTGTTAAAACTCGATTTCAAGAAAAAAATATCAATATCGCAGTTATACCTAGTAGGCTTACTTTCAAATTATAACCATTAGATATATCAGTTAACAAATCTTTTAAATCTAAGATATGTTTAAAATATTTATATTTATATATTTATAATCCAAATATTAAAATTTTTATTTATATTAATAATATGCATTATTATTATAATGATTAGATTGCTGAAGAAATAAAAACTTATACTTCAAGTGGTCGTATTCAAAACCTACTTATAATTTAGTTGCTCAATAGGTTAAAAATACATGGAATGCTATAGATCCTTTCTTAATTCGTCGTTCATTTAAGTGTTATGAAATTTCTAATAAACAAAATGAAAGTAAAGAATATCTTATATTTGATTATTATAAAGTTGCAAGAAGTAATACTACTAATCAAAGTAATTATATTTACTTAAATGATGAAATAGATGATCAGAAAAATAGAAATATCGAAATTTATTTAGAAAAAGAAAAAAATAATATTGGTGATGGTGATAAAAAATATGAAGATGGTTATTATAAAATATAAGAAAGAAATTATATTAATGATTGAAATTAAATGTATAATAATATAATGAAATATTTGGGAATTTGAAATAAAGTATAAACATTTTTGAAAATAATGAATTTAATTATTTTTTTAATTTTATTAATTTTATTTATAAAATATTAAGTTCGCATTTTGTATCTGAATATTAATTAAATTTTTATATTATATAAATGATATAATACTCAAATATAATTAACTAGAGGTATTTTTTTAAGGGAATACTTTATAGAATGCTATACAGTACTAAATACTAAATAAATAATTTGTAGATTATGAGCTAAATATCTACAAATGATTAATAGATCACATAAATAGTAGCAAATTTGTGAATATTTAAATATTTGTGAATAGATCTAATATTATCTGATCTTTTTCTAAAGAATTATACGCACATTTTATAATTTATATATTTATTAAACCCATTTTCTATTATTATTTATTTTACTATAATTTGTTACAACATTATTATTTATTATAACTAAATTTACATACTAGAATTTTTTGGCAAAGATAAATATTTTTAACTTTTTTTTAATAAAGTATTTCTAAAATAATATTATGATCTGAAATATTATTGTAATATTTTGAATTTTTTGTATATAATTATATAAGAATCAGGTTATTTATAATAGAATTTTCAAAAAAATTATGTTATATGCAGTATTTTAGTAATTTCAAATAAATATTTAAAGCTTTTTCTTAATATTCAATCATAATTTTCTTTATAATAAACCTTAAAATCTTTATATAATCATTTAAATATATTAGTTTTTATTAAAGATAATTCAGTAACTAGTTGTAACTGGTGATAAATAAGCATCATAAGATTGTAACTAGTTGTAATCAGTGACAAATAAGTATCACATAAATGCAACTAATTACAGCATCATCTTTAGTTCTTATTGTAATTATTTGTATTATGCTTTATTGAATGTTAAAATTCAAATACAAATTGTAATAAATTATTGCAAATATTTGCAGATTTTGATTTACAGATTAGTATTAATTTATAAAAATCCATTAATATTTGCGAATAATCTGTAGATAAATTTTATAAATTTACAGTACTTAAATGTGATTCAGATGTTGCATTATTAGATATTTGTGTAATTATTATCTGCAGATTATTTTTCTATAGAGGGTTGACTCTTTTATAATTTACATATAAATTCTAATCAGTTTTATGTTAATCTTAGTTATCTTACTACTAGTTTTATTAAGTTTTATTAAGTTTACTAAACATGAACTGCTTTAATCATAGATTAAGGTTTTCATAGTAATCACAAAGAGTTTTATGATAGAAAATAAGAAATATTTTATTAAATAAAAGAAAATAATAAATAATAAAAAAATAATAAATGTAAAGAAAGATAAGAAAAAAATAAATATAAAAAGTATATAAATCAAAGAGTAGCATTACGCTATCTTTTATAAGAGAGGTTTTCTATATAGCTGTTAGTTTATCTTTTTTAATTTACAAAGAACTTGTATTTATATTTATTCTATTATATATTTTGATATATCAAATATATTAACTATATTAACTATATTAAATATATCTAATATATTTAATATATTAACTATATTAAATATATCTAATATATTTAATATATTAACTATATTAAATATATTAAACATGTTTAATATATTGTTATCGTAAAATTCTTCAATTTGGATTAGTCATATTATCAAGTCTTTATTTGAGGTTACTAACTGCGGCTTACTGCAGTTAAGATATTAGGATCTGCTTAACTCTCAACTTTACTAATTCTACGTGTTTAAATTTAAACAAATCTATCAAATATAAAAACTTGAAAAATAAGGTTATGAATAATTTAATTAAAGAATTCAGATGATGAACTCAATTATAAATAATGTGTAGAGATCACATCAGACTATATAAAGACACAAAGAGGCAGAAAAATATAAGTTTTGAATGATTTCTTTATTAATACTGAAACTTGTATTTACAAACTTGCAAAAGAGTTAATTTACAACATAAGCAAAAAGTTTATCTATTTATACAAAATTTCTTTTGTCATAGCTAACTATTTATTATACTATAAACTAACTAAATTGGTAAATAAAATATAAGTAAAATAAATATACATAAGATAATAAAAATATAAAATATAATAAAAATAATAATAAAAATTAGAATATTGAAAATAAATATAATACCAAGTATTTCTAGACTTCATTTAATTCATAAAATTAGGATTATTTTCAGTATTTAGAAGATCTGCAGAATTATGTAAATCTTCTGTATTTTCAAAATTCTCAGTATTTTCAGAATTCTGGATTAGAAGATCATTATATTGCATCATTCACGTGACTTTATTATAATTGGTCAATTGCTCTATTGATAATATTTAACATTTTTAATATTTTATACTTTATCACATATTTGTAAATCCATAATTGTTAAAATTGATACTCAATCACAATATACTGTATATTAATAATTATTAATTTTAAAAATATTTTATTTTTTTTTATAATCATTAGTTAAAATTTTTTAAGTTTTTTAAAATATTTTATAAACAATTTTATATTTATAATTTAAGAAATAATATATTTTTTTAATTATTTTATTTTATTAGACATATAAAAATTATAATATAATTTATATTATATTTTAATTAAAAAAGAAATAGTAATATGATATTAAATAATATCTAATATATCTTAATTAAAAATATATTTTATTATATAAATAAATAATTTTTAAGATTAAATATCTAAATTATTAAATTTAAATTATTTAAAAATATTACTAAAAAAATTAAGATCAGACTATAATATATAATAAATTATATAATCTATCATTAAGAGTAAATTTATTCATTATGAAGATGATGCTTCTTATATATTGCTTTTATAGATAAGGAACGAAATTTCTTAATAACAATTAAAATTTAGATAAAACTATATTAAAATTATAATATGAGATATGATGAAATTCTTTTGATATAATAAAAACTGAAACTATTAAAACTATATTAAAAACATAGAAAAAGGTATAACGATATTATTTTAAGAAGATTTTAGTAAGCATCTATAATTATTTTTATATACATACCTTATCTTAACTTTAACTTTAATCTTAATCTAACTCTAAATCATATAATACTAACAGATATGATAAATAGAATTTCACTTATGAAAAAATTTCTAAGTTCTCAAAATATATATGAAAAATGAAAAAAAAGGTATAACACAGATAACAAAAAGAAAGTAATGATATTATATCTATAATAAATAAATTTACTCTTTTATTAATAGTAATTAATATAATATATAAATTAATAAAAATGATATAAAATATTTTATAAAAAGTTTAAATAATTAAAATTAAATTTTAAAATATTATTTATATTTTTTATATTAATAATTATAATTAAAATTAAAATTTATATATTTTTTAAAAAATTTATAATAAATATAAAAATTTAAAATATTTATTAATATTTTATATATATAATTTTTTATATTTATTATATTTAAACTATTTTTTATTTTTTATTTTTATTTTTTTTTTTTTATCAATAAAAATATTTTTAAAATAAAAATTTTTATTTATTAATAATATTTTATTAAATATTATATAATTATTAATGAATTAATCTAAATATTAATTTATTATATTAAATTTAATTATAATCCTATTATTTATTTTATTATTTTATTTTATTTTTTTAATTATAGGTAATTTTTAAATATTATTGATTTTATATTTGTATATTAAAACTTTTTTATAATATATAAATTATATTTCTTTAATTGTTTTATCTACAAATTTATAAGCAATTTTATTTATAAATTAAAATTTTTTTAAATATATTATTAAAAATTAATATTTTTATCATAAATTTTATAAAGTTTTCTAAGTAAAAATCAAAAAAAAAAAATGTAATTAACTAGTAGTTTTAAAGATAAATAAATGATAAATTATTATTAAAAAAAAATTAAAATTTTAAATTCATATATCTTGCTATCTATTAATCACAAAAATTAAAGGTTCGGGCAAAACCTGATAATTACGCCCGATCTGAATCCGAAAACTAGGCGATATTAGTTACGCCTCAACAAAAAATTTCCGAAAT